CCGAGGAGCCGCGCCGGACCTCCGGGACGCAGCCGACCCTCCACGTCAAGCCGCATTCGGCTCACGGAGGCGAGTGCTGCAACGGATGGAACTTGTTCAATCGCAGTGAGGTAGACGTGTTTCATTCGGTTTGGAGCGCATCGGTATCTGTTTTTGTAATGTTTTATTGATTGAACCAGGGTGTTTGAAGAGGTTTTGCGGGTGTTTTTATTGTTTTTGCTGGTAAGAAAACCAAGGGACACAAATCAGCTCACCTTTGCCTACAGGCCTTTCTGCTACGATTGGTTGAACGTTTTACACAAAGATTGATTTGGCTGCTTCCAGAAATACAGTCTACAGTGCTAAGCACATTAGATAGGACGCATGTTTGACATCATCCGAAACATAGGTCGAATCATACCCTCGAAACATACCTGGCTAAAAATGAAGTGTTGCTTGTGGACTTGCGGAACATACCTCCGAAACATACCTCGCAATATACCCCGAAGCATACCTTCAGCTTTATCACGCACTGCCGCCCGCCCTGTATCGTTCAATCGATTCACCCTTTATTCACTCTATGCTCGATCATAGAATATACCGATATATCGTGAATGCCATTTCCGTTGCTTATGTTCCTGACCAACCGCTCAAGCAAAGATGCGATTCTCCCTTCTCATCCGTTTCATCGGGTTCACTGCTCTTTTTTTCGGCCTTTTCATACCATCGGCATCGCCTTGACTTCGCGTATACGTAGCGATGATGCTTGTTACGTTCATTTGTTGTGTGGATTCGTGATATAACATAAGCTTCGTCATGTTAGCTATTTGTAGCTAGTGACTGGCAAGTCTTTTCCGGTCCGTCTATATATGCAATACATCTACCATACAGGACTGTACCTGCTGATCCACAGCAAGCGACTCCTCTAGGCACGTTATGACACACGTATTTGATCATCGTCAATCAGCCTTGTTCACAGCAGCTTCACTCACAGTTTCACCAGTACTATTTCCTCCCTGGCCTTAAAAGAAAGATCGACCCGTTCTTGTAGTGTAAAACCCTTGGGGTAAAACATCTGTAAACAGCATGAAATCGTGCGTGGAGTCCTGCGGAACTATGGGGAACTCTGCCAGACACCGTGTAGACACCGTGGAGTCCGCGTCAGGTGGAAGACACCGCTGACAGCGATGCAGAGGAGGCGCGGTGCGGTGGGTGCTTGGGGCTCGGTACTCGGGTTGGATTTGCTGGTGGTTACCCAGCAGAGCCAGTAACAGAGACATGGGACAAGCATTTCTGGGGTGCATCAGGCTCAAGCTGAGGGAAGGGATTTCCAAGATTTGCCAAGAAGAAACAGCATGCCTTTGGAAGGAAGGAACATGGAGGTTGCACCATGTGCAGAGACAGCTGGGCGCAGGCACAGGTGAGGAGGTGGTTTCTGAGGTCGAGATCCTTCTGAGGTCAAGGTATGTGTTTGTTCAACGGAACATCTACTAGTAGTGAGCAAAGCCGTCTGATGTTTGAATTACATAGATGTGTTTTTCTTTATTGATCCCCCAAAAGTGAGCAGGAAACTGCTGGGCTGAGGTTGGTTTCTGAGCCTTGTGGGGGCTTGTGCTGTTCGTGTCAAGTGTTTGTGTTCCGCAGCACAAGTGGTACAACACCCTGGCTTGTCCTTCCATGCTTGACATTCCGCTGGAGCTGTGCCGCTCGTGGCGCCCACCCGACCCATGCCACAGGTCGAGCCGCGCGGAAGGAAGCTATTTCCCCATGCGGTCTTGGACACGAGATGCGTTGTAATTTCTGCCAAAGAAATATCAACAAATCCTGGTAAATTTGTCCAAGAACAATTTGTTCGGATCGGGATTTGAGGCTACTAAGTTGTCATAGAGTATACAGCAAACCAAATGTAAACAGATATGGCCTATGTTACATTCACCACCGAAAAGCTCGTCATGCCTGGCCGTGCCTGGCCTCTCGCCAGGCGGGCCACGCACGCCCACGAGGTGCACCGGAAAGTGGCCACGGCACGACCGGACGACCCATGGGACCGCAGGGAATTGGAATGCAGTTGTTTGATCCGTTGGAGTGATTGATTGGAAAGGGGTCAAGGATCATGCTCGCTGAGTCTCCAAAACCAAAGTTTTGTACCACCACTTCTTAATCACGAAAGCTAGCATCAGCTAGCTGGAGTTGTTTTTATTTTAGCAATTGAAGGGGTGGAATCCTCAAGAGCGCCGCATCAACCCTCGGCCTCAAGTTTTTGTCTTTAAGTATAGGGAAGGACGCATATTTTGTGCATGGAGTTCGAACTGTGTGTCAGGTGCCGAGGCCGCGGCCAGCAGCAGGGGGGCCCGAGTTGTCCAGCTCCGCACGGGCACGGGCAGCTCGCAGAACTTCAGTGACCTACCTTGGCTTGAGCACCTGTGTGAGGTGAAACCCTCGGGTGAGTTTTGTGTGGTTTCAAGATGTTTCAAGGTTTGTGAGGAGTCTAGTTTTACGTATTTCACGTTTGGAGATGGTCTACCAGATGAATCAGCGATGCTTTGATAGAATTGGCTTATGGTTGCTTAAGAAAAGCCTTTGAAGGGTTAGCTTGCTTCAAAGTTGGAACCAACAGTGTTCTTTTTCTCACCTCAAAGACATTCACTTGGACTGGACTACTCATCATGTACAAAGTCAATCCCTTGATATCACTGCACTGTGGCTGACATTTTTCGCCGATGAGGTATTCCTGGCAGATGGTCTTCAAGAGAAAAACTTTGAATTGTGGTTTTTGCCTTGGCTCCCTTGAATGCATCGCCATGATGCGATTGGCAGCCTACGATCTGACCACCACTATTTCCGCTGCGTCACAGAGTTGCTGGACTTCATGACTGATCCATGTTGGATAGAACACCTTGGCCTTTGCAGAACTTGACCAACAGTGTAAACAGTGACCCATACAAGCTGCCGCACGGTGCGCTGCAAACTGCAAACGTTCATTCTTTCAACAGTTCTCCAATGATCCCTGATGAGGAGGCGGTGGTCAGTGGTCCTGATTTTGCTGTGGGCTGTGGCCTCATACAGTACTGAGCCATCATCTCTTTGGTTGCATCACCACTGCTTTCCTCCAAATTGCTCAGGCAGCTTGTTTAGAGTCTAGAGCATGGTGTGCAAAAGAAACTTGTTTTGAACCAGAAACGTTTTTGACAGCGCAATGCGACATCCTGCTTTTCTTCACCTTTTTCATTGAAGTGTCTTAAGTTTCATTGGCCACCAACAGTTCCCAAGGATATATAATGATATATATATATATATGAACTCTCTCTCTCTCTCTGTCTTCTTTTCAATGCCTCCTACAGCGCTCGGACATCTTGAAACACCTGCGTATGGCAGGCACCGAACTCGGCATCGGACGAACTCCTTGGATCTGGACACCGAGGCAGCGAGGTGCCGCCGCGGCGCCCAGAGCTCTGGGAGGCGTTGGAAGACATGGCAGGCGCGGACAGCCGCGCGGGTGAGGCACTCGGAGCACGGATGGGAAGTGGTTGCTTTGGGGATTTGGAAGAAGGAACGACATATCATGGAAACGCTCTTTTTTGTGTTCAACAAGACGGGGGGTTTAGTCGTTCTATGTCGTTCGAAATGATGTTTTTAGGTGATGTATTTCACGCTGCCGGCCATCAATCTAGACGAAGTCGGACCGTTGTTTTGCTTTCCAAACGGACGGAACCTGTTTCACATCCTACGTATACTGTATACATGTCAACGGCTAGTAGTTTACCCTTCCAGTTCCTGCGTTTTCAGAATCCAGTGGAGAGACTTTGGCTTCAGATATGTCTATGTTCAACCTTTACTTGAGATGATTGAACCACATTGAACCCACTCACTCCCTAAAATGTTTCGTGAGTTGAAACCAACCAGACATGTGCTCCTGTAAAGATGAGACCCTCCCAGGAGCAATCCAAATCTCCAATTGCTACAATGTCATCAGTTTTATTTGTAAGCTTTTGTTACTGTAGTGATGGTCTGATGGTCTGAAAACGATACACTTGTTTGTCACAGACGTTTGTTTCTTCCTGAATGTTGATGATGTTTATGTGTGAAGGTGAATAGTGCAACTTCATCACACCAGGCATGGTTTCAGATGATGTTGGCCTTAGAGCGCAAGAGACATCGATCGGAAGACTTGCGAAGCTCGGCAAGGATCCAGGTGATCCATGGGCCAATGGGCCTTTTAACCAGGCCAACGGTTCTTTCCCAAACGCTTTTCATGAAATAACTCCACGCAGTTCCCTTCAAAAAAGCAAACTCCATTGGCCGGGAGTCACGTCGTCACGTAGGGGTGCCGGTTGTGCCGAGTGCCGGAGGAAGTGGAGGACGGTGCCGCCCCTGTCACATCCGCTCGCTGGATGGCACTAACAAACCATCTCTTTGTGACTCCTGGTGTGGAAATGCTGCCCAACAAAGAACACGTGAAAAAGACCACTCTCGCATCAGCCCCATCACCCCCATCACCCCCATCACCCCCATCACCCCCATCCTCATCCGTTCTGTTGAGCGCTCAGGAGCGCTCAACAGCTTTCGAGGCCACGAGAGGTGCCGCATGGGATCATCGGTGCTTGACATGGGGAGATGTTTCCAGACCTGATCAGAACATCTGAACCTCAGTCCCAGAAACAGTTCCACCGAGGTTCCAAGTGGCGCCAGCGCCAGAGATCCACATAGGAAATGGCTGGGACTGGGGAAACAGAATATGTGTTAGTTTGTTCTGCTCTTTCTGGTTGTTTGGGTTACAGGTAGATGAACATGGGAAACATATTGGCCATTTTGGGCAGTGCACTCTGATTTTGTTTTGGACGCTTGATCAAGCTTGGTCGTTTTGGGATTCAGTTGCGAAAATGCCAATCTTTAGCAATTTAGAACTTCTAAACAGTGAGGTGCTGTCATGTGCTTTCCTTTCAACTGGATGGCTTTTTCACCGGGAACATTCTGGTTGGTTGGTTGGTTGGTTGGACGAGAAGTGGGCAGTCAGATGCACCATGGGAAATAGCAGAGAACCCCGCATCCCAAAGACCGCGGATTGCGAAGGCATGCTGGTCTGCGCCCCGAATACGGGTTTCAGAGACAACGCCAACATCGGCCCCCAAGTGCTTACCCCAGATGTAGCGGTCCCGCCCCGTACCGCCTGCTTGAAGGGACACAACGCGGGTAACGAGAGAACCCTTCCAGCTTTACGGTGTCGCCCAAGGAGAACACCTGTAAAGGACTCAAGAGAAACGCGCTGCCCACCAAGGGAGAGACGTGGGGGGAGGGTAGGCAGACCATCATCCTCAGACAGACCCTCGGAGTCAGATACATCAGAGGGGAGCCCTGGCAGAAGGTCCATCCTGACAACTACCGACCAGTCTACGGATTGCCAGCCGAGACGGGGGGCCAACAAAGGCCACTGGCAAGCGAATGCCAGCCCCAACTAGAAATGGAGAGGAGAGCTGGCGAGCAAACGCCAACCCATCCGGCGAAGTCCACGCCGGCACAACAACCCAACGCCGAAGACCGAGAAGAACTGAAGCAGGGCCGGGGCCAACAAAGGCCGCCGCCGCAAGCTGATAAGCTCATCGGGAACGATCAAACGATCCCTCAAATGCCGCCCCCGGGGTCCACGCTACCCTAAGCAAGTTCCGAGGAGCACAAGACAGGATGTACAGGCACCGGAAAAGGCCAGATCTGGTTCATGCTGAGTATGGCACTGTTCTTGTCCTCCACCGTCCAGAAATGCAAGGGATTCCCAGCCAACTGACATGCTTGATCGGAAAGACCCAGATCCTCCGGCTGGCAGCCTTTTGGCCGCTGGGACCCCTGGCTGGTTTGGGGCCAGGACGATTGGGTCTGTTATTTGCCGAGGTGTGGCTACGACAACTGGCACACCCACCGTGTGGCTTGAATTCACGCCCGTTGACCCATTGCATGGCCAGGATGATGCAGAGTCACAATGCTCTTGCTGAAGTCAAAGTTCTGGTCATTGACGAGGCTGATCTGGTCCGGCCACCGTCCATCTATGTCGCCAAGGAGTTCATGCGCCGGATTCCTTTCGGCAAGCTTTTGCTCGTGAGCGCAACCCACGATCAGAAGACGCTCGAGCATTACGGGAACATTCTGACATCGTCCCTCCATTGTCACACAGCTACATTGCACAGAACATGTTTGCCAGATATATCCCATTATTGCTGTCTCTAAATAGTTTATACGATTTCTATAAGCTTCAAAGATCGTTCTAATTCGAGGGACATCTACAAAGCCCTTTATAAGCTTACCAGATTTTACCACCTACGAATGCCCTTTGTTCTTTTCCGTCGCCAGCCAGGGACGGCGCGAACGCTGCCGATGCGACGCACGACGCGGCGCTAGCCGACGCTCCGGACGTGCCGCGCCTTGTCTCGGGAAACGGCATGGGCCTAGCGTGTGGATCTGGTTTTGGCTGGGAAGGGTCCATGAATTGGGTCAACTACAGTATATAGGGTTTCACTGCTCTGGACAGATGGTTTTCTTTGTCCTACATGGATATTTTCAGACGAGAACCGTGTTTCTTTTGTGCTTTTTTAGCAGGTCCAGGGGAGTCCAGTCTCTATAGGCAGCCATCGTCTCTTGAGTTGTTCAATGCCTTTTTGCTCCGGGCCCATGCCTCGTTCGTCCGGGCGCAGGTTGATGGGATGGGGTGGGACGAAGACGAAACAGGAGCGCTGCTGAACGAACGGGCGAAGGTGTGCGAAGCTGTTTTGTGTGAACACCGACGCGCTGCATTGCTACATCACCTGAAATGCATATCATATGGATTAATACCATATGAATGCCATGGGTATGCAGATCACAGAAACATCTCCCATGGGTGCTCACGAGTGAGTGAGGACACTAAGAGTGGTCATAGACCTGCAGAATCAAAGACTTCAGAGAGATCCCCATGAATCAAGTCTTGATCTATAGTCTAGCTATACATGTATACATACACAAGCTGATTGGCGTATGATGGCGCAAATCAGCCCCTCTATGGCGGCAACGACGTTCTGGGCTGCACCCCTTGCACCTGCACGTCTTTCGTTTTGAGGGGCTGACTTGACCGATGCATCCGAGCTTTTCCATGTTTGCATGAGTTTGGCCGCATGTCGATGCTGCTCCCAGGGCATTTTGCGGGGGCCCTACTCTGAACAATCAAGTTGTCCAGGTTCTGGAAATGTTCATAGAACCTGGGCAGCTTGAAGTTGGCAACAGATCCTTGTCCAGGTTCGAACAATCAAGTTGCCCTGGGCCCATAGGATCTCATCTCTCGTCTTCCCGGATCCTCCAGCAAATCCAAGAAACTTGCCACCTGATGGACTTGAGTCAAAAGCCCCAAAACCGACCGCACAAAAAGCCGATCCATGCCATGTGGCAGTCCGATCATTCCCTCATGTATCTCGGAGTCGACCCATGAAACTGCCATGCCCATGCCGCCCCATTGACACCCCAAGTCACCACCCCTGGCCGTTTTGAAGGCAGTCCGAACTGCCAGTCCCAGACGGGTCGTGTTTGGGTATATATTAATAACTATGTTCACACACATTCGAGACCATAGGACAAACTTCACGGCAAAACAAACACATGGAGACCCCTCCCGTGAGGGTTTTGATTTTGGAAGAGCCTTTGGTGTCCTTTCCGTCTCGGCACCGAAACAGTCATAAACAGTTGGCCCGAAACATGGTGGCGTGGCGCGTCTGGAGTCTGGTGCTGGTAAGATGGATTCCCATTCAAACGTGTTTGTTTTGCTTTATATCAATATATATATAGATCAGTTCCGAACTGGAACTGACAGAACCCTGCCAAATCCACACTCCAAGTTTGAAAAGCAACGCACAAAGCCATCCGCTTCTTTCTGGGGGAAGGTAAATCGATGTAAATCGACTTGCCGCATCACCAACCAATTCCACCACGCCCCCGCTCACGCGCGGTCTTCCACGCGGCGCGAACACCGACCGGTCTTCCAGCAGTTCCAGGTCCAGTCGCGAGCGGAGCGCGCCCGGGCGCCGAGCGCCGAGCGCGGACACGGGGCCACGGGGCGGCTTCAGCCGGCTTCACGGGTTGCGGAGACCGAGGTTTTGGTAGTGGAGGCTGCAAAAACCGAAGCCTTCAACGTCCGGTGCCATGAGGTGCCCCTTGCCAGATCGGTGTTTACGGTGTTTTTGTTTGGGGTCTCCAAGCAGCCTGGCCGGAGGGTCCTGGTGGGGATCCCACATACCTTGGAAACGAAAGTGCTCCAAAGCTACATTGAAAAGTGTCGAACACATTCGAACACATCACCTTCACCTCAGAGGGTGGCAGTGCATTCTGGGGATCGGGCATATAGGGCCTTGGGGATTGTTGTTTCTCTATTGGCCGTCTAAAACTCCACCAGCCTTAAACACTCCATGGGACTGGAATACTTACCTACATTGATCCCCTTTTCAACCACCCCAATGTATCTAATTGTTTCTATAAATATGCAAGTCATTGCCAGTCGACAGCTTGTGTTTGGGCGGTCCAAAGATGCGGAAAGATGCGGTCCAAAGACATGAGAGGCTGGATGTATCTGGATGAAGTGCTTCTTTGAGTGGAATCCCCTGCAGACCTGGTCCGCAGAAGAGAAGGTTGCGCTCCGGGGAACCAGTTGCGCAACCAGTTCGATCCATGTGGTGGTCGCGTGCTTTGCAGCAAAGAGACCGGTAGAGTGAAGGAAGTCCCTCCAAGTCCTTGGGAGTGAAGGTGAAGGTGACCGACCCACACAACAGATGGTGTTTTTTGGTGTTTTGATGTGAGTGGCATTCCTATAGCCAGATTGACATGTACTTTTGTTTTGAGAGGTTGGAGGGCTTTCTGAAAGCAACAGCTCATAAAATCCTCAAAGCACTGCAAACAAAATTGACGCACATTCCTATGTTCCAGGGTGATGCCCAGCAACACTTCCACATGTTCGGGATGTGCAGAAGTTGGAGACCTTTCCAACCACTTCCAATGGCCTTTCACCCGTGATCACCCGTTCTTTTCACAGAGTACTGCCTCGCCGATTCGATGTGGCACGAGGTCATCCCTCCCGTTGCACTACGCGGTCGGGGACGCTTTTGCTCGATTTTTTTCGACCGATGTGGTTGGTCTGTTTCGGCGCCGGGGGGATGGTTGTGGCTGTAATGGTAGATAGGGATGCATTGGGTTTAGAAATGCAAAGGCCTGCAACCAGGCCCCTATCATCATCCACCGGGCCGGTGTCTGGGATAGACCCAAGGGAGTACTCAAGGGATGGATCATGATGCAGCATTGTCAGGATAGATGTGGCTATACCGATGTCGGTGACCATTTGCCCTTTGATGACCTTACGTAATGTTGAAACTTTATCGTATAACTGTTTGATTGGGTACTCAAATGATTACAGTAGGTAGATGATTATTCTTGCTGTTTGCTTTATTGCTTTTAGCCCAACACTGACATACAAGAGGTATGCATAAGTGCATCATGAGTTCTTTCATCGCCGAACCTTATGGTCGGGATGTGTCGGTTTCTCGCGGGTCAGTTGGTTTGAGGTGCATTGATGACCCTTTGCTACATGGTTGTTTGGTGGGAAGGGGATCTCCACAAGTGTAGACACAATAAGTGTGGTGAAAACCAAGGTCCAAGTAAATGAACATGACCATTCATGACTGGCATGTGCACCAACGGTAAGCTCGCGCCAGAGGGCGAACTTGACAGTATATACCTCGCATCGACCCCTGTATTCCCAAGCTCGAACGTGAGGGGTCAGCTGAACAGGGGAGAAACATCTACCCCCGTTTGGAGGCCCATTTGGTAGTAAGGTTGGTAGATGATGATTCTACTTCCATCTACTTCTTGATAGTTGCGAAATTCAAAAAGGAATCTTCGACAATTTGATTCAAGAACTGCTCAACACACTTCCGCCTATGGACATTTGTGGGCCATTTGGGGTCCCACCGGCATAGTTGGGGTCCCAAGCGGCATATTTCAGCAAATCTACTTTAGATGACGATGATGTGTCAATGTGAGTTCATGTTCAAGGACACTTCCATATTTGCACAGACATGTTCGTTCTCTAAATCCAGACCAACCGCTCCAGCGGAGGAAGACAAATCCCGTGACAGCGGCTCCTCATTCCCCTGCCGCGGCTCGCCCGCGGCTCGCACGTGGTCCGCGTGGTCGGCTCGACGTCTCAGGTCCGCTCGGGCAATGTTCGGATTGTGGAGAGCTTACTGAAGTGGAGCCCCCCCACTGAGGTGCCGGAAGGGGCTGGAGAGATGTTTCGCGCCCAACGAGCGGCCGGGCGACATTGCACTGGCCCGGCCGTTGGAAATCCCCCGTTTAGTACTTAAGCCGACCGACCGTGTGAAGCGGAGGATCCGGTCTTTGAGGTTGATTCTTTTTGCGGTTGGGGAAGCACGTTGACTGGGTGGGTCCAGGGTCCAGTGGGGAAGAACGTTTTTGATATGGGCTGGATGGATTGGCTGAGTGGATCATGGATGGAATCTCCACATTGGATTGGCTGGTGGATGGGTGGATGGAGGGATGGATGGCTCCAAAGATTCGGACGCACATGGGGGGAAACGGGAAACGGCTGCTACAAAAAGGACACCAGACGTCTTGCCACTTGCTCATGCTAGGCTATAAGCATTCTGAATTAGCCTGAGTGCGTTGCATCGTTGCCGTCCCCTGCGTTTTTGTGAGATCCCCAAAGGGGGAGTTAGTGTACTCACCAACATCCCTTGTTTCAGTACCTATTCGCGCCAAATTGGTACAGGCATTGCACCCTTCACTGGCAGCTTTGTTACAGCTCATGTTGAATTCAGATCCATCCTGCATTGTTCAACAACTTGGCGGGGCTATCCCCAACTTGGAACGGCACACCCGTCGCGTCTGGACCCGTGTCGTTTTTTCGTGATCGCCCCGGACGGCACGTCCACGGACCGGACGGGCTCCACGGGTCGTTGCTGCTTGGGCGACGTGGGGAGGCGGCCTTGGAAGAGCTTCTGAAGCTGCCAAAGACCGAACGACTGCGCATGGAGGCGAGGTTGGGGTACTACGACCGGTCGTGTGTCTTTCTTTGGGGCGGTTTTGGGGTGAGACAGTCCGACCGGGAGAAAATGCGTAGGTGGAGTCTTTCAGTGCACCTGCACAGTTTGCAGCTTTCTGGTGTCAGTCAGGTTATTCTATTGGTGATTTTGAGTCTATGAAAACTAGAAACCAGGCCTTTAGTGAAGGTGCACATGGCAGAACTGGACTAGTGGCTCCCCAGGGTTCAGGAGTGTTCTGGTGTCCTGCAACACCAAGCGCTTGAGTGATGCCCAGTGACTGCCCAGTTGTTCCCAACAGAATAGGTGATCAATGTCAATTGCATTCAATTGCTTAGAGTGGGTTCAGAGTAGATGGCACAATCCCCAAGTTCGGTGGTTTATATCGACCCCCATCTAAAGGACATGTAGGGGTGCCAGTGCCATCCAACCTCTGATGGCCCACTGTAATTATACAGATCCATGCTGGCTGGTTCTCAGGGTTCAGTTCCACAGAGGTTCCCAGTTGCTGAAGGATTTGATTCGACCATTTCTGCAGGACCAGACCTTCTCCTTCAACATTGTAGAGAGGGGGAATTCAACCCAACGGTCATCATTTGCTCATGTCATTTAGGAAGAACCCGAGGTGCGTTGCCTCGTGAAATCAAAGGACTCGGAACCCAGGGGACAAGTCTCCGTTGTGTGCAACCGTTCGCATTCTGGAACGGCCACTGACAAAGCCACCGGCGCAACTGGGTGGATTTATCTATAGGTGTCACTTTTTAGATGACAAACGATATCGAAGAACCTAAATGCAGTCCTCTAAATGGTATGCCGGGACCCACAAGGGGTGGTTCATAGACACCCCTCATCAGCTTGTACATTCTTCGGGGCCATTCTTGGACATCCCGTCCGTTTCGGGGGGGGTCCTGGTGTATGGTCAAGTCTGAAGGTACCCTCGAAGCCGGTGCCCAAATCGGGGGTGCGCGGACTTGAGTCGGTGCCTGACCGAGGCCTGACCGACCGTCGAAAAAGAAACGACACTCGGTCCGGTCCCGGAAGGACTCGGACAGATCCGAAGTGGAACTTCTCAAGAGATACTCATTTCTCAACTCCATTCCAGTTGGTCTTAGTTCCAAGTCAGAGAAGTTCATAAAGGTCGGTTGGACTCCGACCTTGAAATTGAGAATCAAAATCCCCCTCAAATCCTCAAAAAACCCGGACGAAAACCCCTTAGATCTTCACCAACCCCCTTGGTCACGGTCTAGGACCGGTCTCTCGCCGAATGCTACTAAACACCGGCGCTAGACCGGCGCCCCGCGGGGTCCGAACGGCTTGACGTGAACGCACAAATAGATGTCATTCGACCATGACATATTCTGGTGAGAATTCGGACATGAACGGCAAACGTTTGACTTTCAACGTTCCCTTCGGGAATTGCTCCACCCTAACGAAGAACAAGCCTTTGCGAAGGTCATTGGATGTGATGTTCACCCAGACTTTCGACGTTCCAAGAACTGTTCATTTTTTCGGGAACACATGAGGCGAGTTTGCACAGACACAGGGACAATTCAGGAATTGCATGACCTACCCCAGGAGGAAAAGTGGATCACCTGCCACCATGGCAAAACCATGCAAAACCAGTTGATTGAGGACACCCCAAAACCAGTTGATAGAGGACAGGTGAAGAATGGTTGAGCTGAGCTGCTGTATTTTTCAGGGAAACGATGTCCGACCTCGGGTCACATCTTTGGGATCTGACCTTTCTATCCAATTCCTTAGGGTCCCAACAGGGATTGATAGAACATCACCCAGTGACCTGCTTGAGTGGCAACTCTCCAAGAGGTCAACCCTCAAAGATTTGTATTGAAGGCTAATTTGTAGAAATCTCTTTTGGATGGATGGAAAGATTGGAAAGCCTCTTCGGATGGATGGACGGATGGAAGGACAGCCTCTATTTGAGAACAACCCGTCGCTGCAGGAGGTCTTAGCACCTCACCTGTCGCGGATGAATCAGCGCTCCTTGCCCCTCTGTGCTCGGGGGGCCCAGCCCGTCCTATGCGGCGAACTGAAGTTCACTGAGCCTTGGTCCGAGAACTCCAGGCCAAAGCATATAGACTGAGCCTCATGTATGATATATAGGACCCACCGGACCTGGAATTGGTCTTACATTTCCCTGTGATATTATAATGTGTGTGGTTTTGTTCATCAATATATTGGCTGCCCTGTCCTTAAATTGCAGCATTGTCACCATTTCTGCATGCAGAGGGAACCCACGACTCTTGTGATCATCTACTCGGGAACCCTTCGAAGGCATAGGAATCATCACGGGAATCATCACGCATCACGGGAACTTGGGGAAGGCCATCGAAGTTCACGAAGGAATCTTCATGCATCCTGGTCAGCTGCCTGTGGGCAGCTGCCTTGAAACACGGCTTCTGGGCGGTTCGGATCATCCAATTTCGATCAACTGAAGACCTCCGTGGGGCGTTGACTGTGGGAAGACTGGGCCCTTGAAGTGAGTTGAGATTTTGGCAAGACAAACTGATGGACCTGGTTCTCGAATGTTCTCGAAAGTGACCTGGTCGTTCTGCTGCTTCGGTCACGAACAGGCCTGCAACAGGTCACTTAGACTCCCAAGAGGTCACTTTGAAGGTCCTGGCTGATGGAACACAATGATTCCTAGTGTGGAAGAAAACATCTTGCAAAGCACAACAAAAACATCACATCTATTCCAGCACCACAGAAAGGGTTCTTATTTGAACAATCATGAAATTCCCACCCTTTGCCAGCCTTTCTGCGGTGCTGATGGGTGGATTTCATGTTGTTTTTTACAGTCTATGGTTAAGAGAATGCCGCAGAATGCCAGTAAGCCAGGTTGTTTGACTAAAACATTGCATGCGTTGTTCTTGCAACCACCATAGACCCTATGATGTTATTATGTTTTATTGGTGTTTTGTGTTTTGGGGGGGAAGTATCTATCTGGGCAATCCCACTGAATCTGTCAACCTGACGGATCCGCGAATCCATTGAGGCACGGATCCACAGGGGCCTCGCGCCAGAGGCGGGACCGGGGCAGTGCTGGGGGCGTTTGGAGGGCGTTTGGGGTGTCGTCCACTGGGTGGAAGAAAGATTTAACATGTCTTGAAATAGCTTTGTTTGGTCTGGCTTGGTTGGGACATGTTCAGAACCAGCAGTTCCATGCAGTTCTTCCGTGGGAATGGAACGGAGGATATGAATGGACAGTGTCGGATTCGTTTGGTGCCCCTGGGCACGGCCTCACGGCGGATGGGACTAAAAACCCTTCCTTTGGAACTGCTGGAAGTGTTGTCTTGGTGTTCTGTTCTTGCTTTAACTGCTGCTTGGACGTCGAAGTCCATCAGAACTCCTAGGATGGCACAAAACCAGCAGCGGAGGTTGGCCAATTCCTCAGTGACAGTTTTACCAAGGTATGTGTTTTGGGTTGTTATTGTTCTTTTAAGCTGCATGAATGACATACTCGACGTGCATATGTCCCACAGAGAAGTGTCCTCCTGGGCGCTACCCAAGGCACTACGAGGTACGCTGTTTGGTCTCAGTTGTGTTCTTTTCTGATTTCCAGGAGGCATGCTCTCCCCTACCGGCTTTGGGTTGTCCCACCTTCTTCTCCCCCTGGCCAACCGCTGTGCAGGACTCCAGCTTAAGCTTCAGCCAAGTCCTGGGGACTTTGCCCTTCATCGCCCTAAGGCGGCAAAGCGATCCAGGCGGATCTCTCGGAGAGAGGGCTGATGTCAGCGGAACCAGCGACGCGAGTGGGAAGGACGGGATGAAGACAGAGCTGCGCGACGCGAGTTCGCGAGTTCGCGGTTCAAAACGCCCCCTGACTTTTCGGGTGGGCGGCGGAACCTTCCGCACGTCAACTGGAACTGATGAGTCTCATGGATTCACGATGTTGAGATGTTGAGAATCTCCATTACTGAAAAGCAACTCATCCATATGTAATTAACCCTGCATGGAATAATTGATGTATCTTGAATTATCTTGACATCATCAATTGCGCACTATAATATGTGTAACTGTGTAACCATGCAATGCATCCATGTAACCAACAAAAGGGTATTTTGCCCTCAAAGTTGCCCCAGGCCTGCGAGAGCAATGGAGCCAGAAGTTACGAGAGGTCCTGGGCAATGAATGGTTCGAGGCCTTTGCGAAGCGCGAAGCATGGCAAGTTGGAAGAAATAGTTAACCACCGAACTGACATGCCATCATGCTTCCCTGAACCGGTCTTAGTATATAGTCATGTATTAGTCATGTATAATATACATAAAGGTGGGGTATACAAACAGGTATTCATCAGGATCATGTCCCAATTTTTCAAGGTCCACTTGTTTCGGTCACGCAAGCAGCGTTTGTTTGCGCCTTCAATTTCATCCCAGAACAGCTGGAGAAGCATTTGTGCATCTCTCCAAACCGTGATCAGGTGCCCCTGATCGGCTCCAGCTGGGTTGTGTTGCCACCGGAAATGGGAACCCTGCGATGCTCCAGTGCTTGATCTACAACTTTGTCAGGTGCTTGTGGGCTCATATGAGTACAAGTGGCTTGTGTCCATAGTCACCACAGGGACATTAATATTAGGTCCCGGTGGTACTGGCTGCCAAAGCTTTGACCTAGCACAGACAGTCATCGGGCCCGAGGTTTGTCAGAAATTTGGACTATTATATAATTATACGAGGGTTTAGGGTTTAGGGTTTAGGGTTACTATACCTACCAGGAAAAGACGTGCAAAGGGAATATCGCCATCTCGCCGGGCACAAGTTGCAAGCGCTATAGCGGAAGCGCGGTCATGGGACTTGTGTGTTTTTAGTACCAAACCAAACGTTGCACAAAGTTCATCAAAGTTCTATTGCGAGTTCCTGGTGGATCAGATGATTAGATGATCAAGCCAGCCATGCCAAGATCCATGATTTGCCTTTGTGTCAAAACCAAGGATGCCTTGGTTGATCTACCGACGTAGGTCATCAAGCTACAGACCAGGGGCTCCCAGTTTTTGACCCATCCCCACCTGCCACGAGTGAGCTCATGCATGTCTCTCTTTTCTCGCCCCAACCGCCCATGTGGCACCGGAACGTGCTCTCGCCCCGGAACCACAGCCGGACCGAGCTTCCTTTCGAAAACGCCACGCCACCCGTGCACCGGTGCGATACTGTAGGCGGCCAACAGGGAGGCCTTGACCGAAGAGCTACGAGAAGAACTGTTGAGGGCGTTGAGGCCGTCCCACTCGCGCGGATGACTTCCGATGCCCAGGGAGGTGGAGTCGGGTATTCCGAGAAAGCCGAGTGCGGCGGCTGGGGAAGAAGAGATGGGACAGTCAGCCGAGCCAGCCGAGTATGGGAATCAGCTTGGACCAGCATGTTTCAACGATGATCGAGGGTGGGAGGCAGTTTTCGGCAGGGATTGCGCGAATGCATCCCTCTTGAATCAACAAACGATGTCTTTAGAGACATAGAAACCACCGTATGATACCATATATGGACGTGTATTTTGTAATAGCCAGACACCCAACCAATATGGGTAAACTGTTGTTTTTCTTCTCTTAAGGTGATCATGGTGATCTATGGCGGGGGTCTCCCTATTCTATGGGGGGGACTCCTATTTGTAGTATGGATCTAGTTTGATTCCATATTTTCTTCGTTCGGTCCATGCAATTGGGTCGTCTTTTTCGCACTCCATCACTCGGCCTGAGTCCTCACTTCCCAGCGAGAAGAAGTGCGCTGCTGCACCGGCTAGCCGGTTCTATACGACTGGTTTGTAGAGGAAAATAGCCTTTTCAAAGGTCCATGTTCAGGGTCCATGTCAATCTTTGCGGGTGCATCCCAAAGAAGATAGAAGACAGAAAAGCCACGTGTTGCTTCGCGTGTCCGTTCTCCACTTGTTTATCAACGCATGTCATGTTTGTTTTACGCCCGGGCCACGCCCGCTTGCCGCCTGGCACAGCGCGACGCGAACTGCGCTGCCTTCGGAGTTCCGTCACCGTGGCCACCGGGACCGGGCGAGGCGTCCGTTGGACGTGGAGCTGGTGCGTGAGTTGCTCTTGGCCGGTGCCGACCTGCAAGAGGTGCCATCGATCCGGGGCGATGCTCGCCGCGTCGATACGCGACCGGGCGACCGAGCTCGTTGCGTCGGCGAATGGAGGTGCGGTGGAACAAGGGGGCAGAAGGGGGGTGGCGGGGTTGAGGTGAGAAGCCGATAAGCCATGTTTGGACCAAGAGTCTCCCAGATTCATCCAATTTAAGGGAGGGGACTTGGGATTGTTACCCTGTTACCCTCAGGCAGATCATGAAGTACTTGGCAAGACCTGGCAACCAGTAGGGTCAGCAGAAGCAGCAGACATTCATAACATAGACTACTCATCATGACTCATCACTCATCATAGCTTCATCGGACTCTTAGGACTGTCTTGGGCCATCTTGGGCCATAGGTTTTTCCTTCGTTTTGTCAATCCCTCATGTAAGAAATGTCATGAAACACATCAATAAGATCCGCCATTAGCTTTGTACTTACTTTTGGAACCCCATGAAAGTCGTTGATTTCCAATCCACCACTCGGTTGGAGTTTTGCTGAATCCAACCGAACCGCAGAGGGGCCTCCGTAGAGAAGGGATCAACCCGACCATAAATAACAACAAATAGCAAGAGGGAGGGTCTGAAGGCAAGGAACCAAGACAAAAAAGGGATCATGTGAGATGTCGATTAGGTTACGGTTAGAGGAGGGCTGAAGTCAGCGTAACTCTCCACACAATCTCTTTCAGCTTGGCCGGTCTGCGCGCCCGCACAGACCACATCCCATGGAAGATCGGGCGATGGGGAAAGCGTGGAGGAGGACGAAAGCGTGGCAAAAAGCCGCTCGTCTGACTGCACAGTTTCAGGTGTTCAAGGAGGTTGTTGGTTTATACATGTTGTCTCATGTTGTTACCTACCTTGATTCAGTTCCCAACGACCAAACCCTGGACATTGTTGCTACCTACCAGGCAAATGCACTTTTCCTTTGTTTGTTGGGTTTGCCAGTGCCACCTCACTGTTGCTTGTTTTAAGTGCATTTGATATAGCACGTGGTGAGCTGCCATCCTAGATTCATATACAACGTTGGTTCAAGTGGGTGGGTGTTCCTACAACATGATTTTGTTTGGTTGTGTCTACTTTTTTCACTGGCGGTGAAACAACTAACTAAAGAAAATAACTTCTCAATACAAACCAATCTTTGTTTGAACTTTGTTTTGCCTGCATGTTTGATCATGTTTGGCCATAAATCCAGCAGACGTGGCAGGACAAGACCATGCAGGCTCTAAAGTTTTTGAGGAGACCATACGGTCAAAAGAAGTGAATCCACCGTGGAGCTGTGCACATGATCATGAATCCAAGGTGTTTGTACATGTTGCATAATTGTATGTAACGTTGGCATGATCCCGAGCCCTTTGGTCCCAGAATTGGCTTAAAGCAACATCTGTAGGAAACCCATAGTTTTTGTTGGTGAAAACGTGTGAAAACCATAGGTTCCCCAGACACTCCATGTATATCCATGTATTGGCATTGGTTTCAGGGGCCAATGTAGGTATATTCTATGCGGATGGAGTGCTTTTGTTCCCGTTGATGCTTGGAATCCCCAGCTCGAAGGGGTCACCAAACTCCCACTTTTTGTTGTCCCCTGTTCGATCCAAACAATTGGGACCATTGGAGCTACCTTAGAAACCCAGACATGACCTGTTTCTTCTGAACTTCCACCATATGTTGGATGGTTGGTGGTCTGAAATGAGTGTGTACTAAAATTTTCATCGGGAGACTGACTGACCAGTCTACCCGGGCGCTTGCAGGGCCTTCGGGGTCTCCCCATAGAAAGGGCCCTGGAAGTCCAGTCGACGATCTAAACAAAAGGCGCTTTGGATCACCGGCCGGTGCCAAACATCGTCGGTTGGAGTTCTAGGTTAGACATCTATAGATTGGGGTGTCCTATTGCCTGTAACTGTCGGCAACCAAGAACACTATTTGAGAGATGTCGGCCTGCAGCCGCACTGCAGCCTAAACGTCATCATCCACTCACCCCAGGCAATCGGATATAATTACCCAACTTGTATTGTATGTATATTATGTATATACATATATTAGTACTTAGTACCCCCTCCCATCTATATATAATAGTATAATGCAATGATCCATCCTCACAACACCCGATTCCCGACCTGTGAGGGAATGGGATATACACCCCGACTGACTCGGTCATGGAGGGGCGCCCGATCGGTCGCGAAGTGTGTCGCGCAGTCGACTGCCGCACGCCCGAGGTGAGGCGAGCGTGGGCAGCATCAGCCCTTGGTGTTCGGACCACCCGGGCAGGGCGACACGTGTCGGTGGTGTTTGGTCTTATAGCTCGCGGATCATATAGGTGTTAGCCCCCCAAAAAAGGAACATAGAAACTGAAGAGTGTTTTTTCCTCTTTGACAGTTGTTCCCCAAACAATGTGTATATTGGGGTTAGGGTAGTTGTTAAGCACCGGTGTCTAATCGTAGGTGTTGCGCATCCGTGTCCGGCTAATTCGCTGCTATGTACAGTACATTCACGCCTCTTGAAATCCTCGAAGTGCATTTCGACTGTGCAGGCTCGCAAAATCTGGGTGGCCGCGGTGGTGCTTGTCGTGACTGCGCTCTCGTTGTGGTGCCGTGCGCATTTTCGAACATGGTGGTCACTTTTCGTGGCAGGCGGAAGGGAAACCTCGTGTTTTGGTGGTCCAAAGTCGACTTTTCGTGACAGGTGCAATGTGCAAGGGATCAGAGCGGCTTTACTTCGAAGTGCAGATTTCGTGGCAGGTGCAGCACTTTGGACATGGCGGTGATCTTCGAGGCTCTCTGATTTCGCGACAGGTGCAGTGAATCGTGACTTTTGGACATGTGGCTCGTTTTTCGTGGCGGGTGCAGTACTTTGTGAACCGTGAAGTGCAGATTTCGTGGCAGGTGCAGCACTTTGTGAAGATCGAAGTGCAGATTTCGTGGCAGGTGCAGCCCTTCGATCAGGTTTCGTGGCAGACACAGCACTTTGTGAACCTCGAAGTGCAGATTTCGTGGCTCGAACTGTAGATTTCGTTGCAGGTGCACCACTTTGTGAACCTCGAAGTGCAGATTTTGTGGCAGGCGCAGCGCTTGGTGAACCGTGAACCTCGAAGTGCAGATTTCGTGGCAGGCACAGCACCTTGTGAACCTCGAAGTGCAGTTTTTGTGGCAGACGCGGCACTTTGTGAACCTTGAAGTGCAGACTTCGTGGCAGGCACAGCACCTCGTGAACCTTAAAGGGCAGGCTTGTGCTCTGACCGGATCCCCAGCCCGACCCGGAAGTTGCAGGAAACGCGCGGAACCACATATGTGGCGGCAGGTAAGGTAAGTAAAGTGCCTTGCGTTCAATTAGGGCAGGACACATCTGTGGCAGTGGAAGCGGTTGCCTTCGATTGCTGAGCAAATTTAAGTTCCCGAATTTAACATTAACAAGTTGACACAGAACGCGTGCAGAACTAGCGGCCAAAACTATGGTCCTGCTTGGCAAGAACACGAAGAAGACGATTGGCCAGCACCATACTCCCGCACCAGGCCAGGAGGACGCGATTCTCGCACCGGCGCGCAGAAGCGCGCGTGGAGGAGCATCCGGGACTCACTAGTCCAGGCTCTGGGGGATCTGGCATGGGAAGCCCAAACTCAACAAGAACAACTTGCTGCCGCTCTCCCCCGCTATGCAGCAGCACCTTCACAGCGTACACCGCAAAGTGGCGGGGAATGGGTGTCAGTGTGGATGTCAACAGCTCCGGCCCCTTGGACACATAGGCTGTGGGTATTTGTATCGAATTATATTTTTTCGAAAGAGGCATGTATACAACATCAGTATAGATCATATTTATACACAATCGAGCCTTTTTTCTTGTTGCCAAGCCACAGGGGATATATTTTTGAAGTCAGAATAGTTCTTGGAGGTCAGCAGTTGTTTGTTGCACAACAATGAAAACCCAGATTTCCATTTGACATGTGCGAAAAAACGAACGATGATTTTTTGCGTTGTTTGTGTACCAATTGCAAGATACGTATCTATATTGTTGATAGCCCCAAGTGGCCAAAAACCTCCTTCACTGCAGCTGTATCCATTGGTTTCCTACCACATGGATGGCTATATAATATATATAATATATATTTATTGTGATAGTCCCATTGTTTTCGCCCTCCAAGAATTCGTCCTGCGTTCACAAGAGCCAAACGTCCAGCAAAGCCCGTGTCTCCAATGACTTTAAAGTCCTGCCCCCTTTGCCAAGTTTGGCGTTCGTACCACACCACCACTTGCAAATTGCTGACCTGGGATCGATTGGACATCACCACTTGCAAGTAGCTGACCTGACATTGATTGGACATCCATGACCTCACTGGGAGCTGACCTGAAAGGATTGATTGGACATCACCTTTGTGTGGTGATGTGTGGTGATGTGTCACTCACCACTTAGTGGATCAATCCACGTATGCGCCCTAGGCCCGGTGCCCGAAGCCGCGCGGAGCTGCGGCGAGCTGCTGGCCATGCGAGGCGCGGCAGCTTTTCCGCTGGCCCTTCTCGGTTCGTGACCGAACGGCGAAGAGAACACACACAGTGGGCTTAAGATGCAATCCCCAAACTTGAAGAAGGATGCTAGAGATTTGTCTTGATTTGTTTGGTAAAGCGAGCAATGGTACAATCGCCACGCCAGTGGATTTTTTTGGAGGATTGAGTTGTTGGATGACGGCCAATGTTTTTGAAAGCTTTGGGGCACTAGTTGCACGTATCTATCATCACATATTGTAGATGTTTGTAGTCATCCTGAAGTAGATAGACGCAACATTCCACAAAGAATGTTGTCAAAATGCTCCCCGTTAGATCTTGTCTCGGATGACTCGAACACCATGTGGTTCATCGTTTGCGGGTGATGACCCTTCCAAAAGCGCATGCCTGCTTTGTGCGTCTAGGCAACTTCAGCGAGGAGATGGCCTCCATTTTAACACCAGGCGGTTGGCGGTTACGGGGGTGGCGATGGTGAGCCTTTAACTTTGCTGCTTTGGTTTCCAAACCTTGAGCCTGAGTGACTTCATTTTGGACCACATACTACCCGAAACACAGCTTTTTCCTATCATAACAGAGGTCATGTCCGGTGTCGGGGTCTACTGTACGCATCTATTGTCAAAATGATGCGTGGTGGTCCAAAATTGACATGTTTTATATCATGTTGATTCCGTTTGATCCTTATGACTTATGTCCTACGTGTATCATGACACCCTCACTCGAGACATTCCCCCAAAAAAACACCTTGTTCATCGGGAAACGAGTTGAAACCACACCGTTTGAAGAAACCTGAACAAACCACGCAAACTACATGTACCTTTGCGGACCGAAAAGACCCAAATGGTGAGTCGGCCTGTTTGTTCCGCGCTTCGTTTTACGAGTGAACCATATATATATATATATATATGGCCCCGTCAACCAGCCAGTAAAAGATAGACCATGGGCACATGTCTTTGATTTCAGTATACTATGCAAGAAGGTATATAACTATGCTAGCAATTCGAGAGCCAACAATTAGTGCGAACACGAGTAAACTTTTGGCAAAAGTCAAAGGATCAGAAAGTTTTTGTTTTCGACTGTGTGAAGCAAATTTCATTTTTGTTTGACTTTTTGAGGCTGTTTTACTTTTGTGCTTTCACTTGTTGACTGTTCAGACAATATATTTTTCCACCTGCCAAGTGAGGGTTCTTAGATTATATCCAGAGCTCTTCTCCTCCTCCTCCTCCTCTCCTCCTCCTCCCCCTCTCCTCTCCTCTCCTCTCCTCTCCTCTCCTCTCCTCTTCTCCTTGAATACCACACCTCAACTGCAAGTGCCAGATCGCAGTGGGCATGTATACCGGACCTCAACTGCAAGCGCCAGATCGCAGTGGGCACTGCTGGACCTCAACCGCAACGGCCAGATGGCAGCGGGCACTGCCGGACCTCAACTACAAGAACCAGATCGCTGTGGCCACTGCTGGACCTCGACCGCAACGGCCAGATCGCAGTGGGCACTGCCGGACCTCAATTGCAAGTGCCAGATCGGAGTGGGCACTGCCGGACTTCAACAGCAAGATCGCAGCGGGCAATATCTCGGCACTTTACCGCACCGTTGGCGTTAGAATATATGTCAGACAGTGTGTGACAATATGGCTTTGCCTTGTGACCTCTTCTTCCTTTGCCTTTACCGGACGACACTATGTGTTGCGTGACAGTTCCGAGATCCGTTGTCTTTTGGGAGTATACTGTGCAGTGACTTGCTCCAGCTTAAGTCCTTGTATTTACTGAAGCCTTGAAGTGCCACGCCAAACCTTTGAGGGTTGAGAAGCCTTGCTGTTAACACTTGCTTGTCAAAGACCTTCCTGCTGTGCTGGAGACAATGCCTCGGGTGGTGCTCCGACCCGCCTTCCGACCCGCGTGCCTGGCGCGCGACCAGGCGCGACGAGACGGGCTATCTTGGGCATCTGACAAATTACACCGGCCTAGACTTCCTTGTCTCGCAAGATCTTCAAGAGCACGGATGTGGACATCGCCCGTATCATTGGTCATATCCATCCTCCTGCCCTGAAGGACAACTCGGATGAGACACGCAAGGGCCTGGACCGTTTGGTGGACAAGGTGTTTGAGCTATTACGCCATCAGATGCCCAAGCACATTACGGGAGCCCTTCAAGACCAAGTGCATGGAGTAGCTGCTCAAGGAAAACGAGAAGCTCAAAGCAGCCTCCGGACACCCCATGACTCCCGTGGACAGCCCCACTGATCCCGACATCCCTCAAGACCCAGAAAAAATGCATTTGGAGAAATCCAAAACCAAGCTCACCCCTCCTGTACCACGCACGGGACGCACGACTATCGACAGTCACTTCCATGCCTCACCCTCGGACGCCGACAAGCGCAAAATCAAATCCTCTTCGGCAGATCCTACGCAGCCTTTCATCATCGGTGATCGCCGACCCGTTTTGGAAGATGCTGCTCCTAGGAAGGCAACCAAGGGCGAAATCGACAAGTGGATCAAGGCCAACATCAAAGAAAAGTCCCCCATCGCCAAAATTGATGAGATCGCCTCACTCATTCACTCACTCACTCACTCTCACTC